CTCTAGTTAAATCGAGTAATATTTTTTCCGAGTTGGCACATCACTATCACAGATTACCACAGTTTTTTTTAAGCCAATGTACTACCACAGATTACTAAATAGGTTATGCGAAGTTTGTATAATGCGTTCTGAAATCAAACTCATATACTCAGACCACACTTAAGTGCGCCTACCTATATTTTACCTTGGTAACGTCATAAAATCGGAACATTTAATAATATTTATCCATACATAACTATTCCGTATTTTCAAAAATTAATTAGAATTTAATTAAGTAACCACGTTTCCGAACAAAAATGATACTCGAATTTAATTAAGTAACCACGTTTCCGAACAAACAATGCTCTTTCAATATAGTCTATGGCTGTGAATGACATTGGCTGCGTTCAAGTTTACTAAGTTCTTGGCAGATCTTAGCATATCTTGTAGCAACAACTTAAAGTAACTATATTTTTTTTTTTAATCTATAATAAAACAATGCAAGACATATTTATTTAAGTGTGTCTAAAATTAATTTTTTGGTAGATAAAGTCAACTTCAACTTCAACTTTTGGTTAATGGCTTTGTGGTAGAGTGTAACCACAATTTCGCCAATGTCATGTATTTGAAAGACAAACTGTCAAAGATAGATAAAGTCAGCCCTGCTCAGAACTTAGTAAACCTGAACGCAGCCATTGACATTGGTTACGCGCGTTTTTTTAAATATGCAAAATTAAATGTATATTTTTCAATATTTCTGAGAGATTTTCTTAATATTTTTTTCCGTAAGAACCTTCTCCTAATAATAACAAATACAACAAAAAAAGAATTAGTGAAATCGGTCCAGCCATTCACGCGTGATGGCGTGACCAAGGAAAACGGGTTTCATTTTTATGTATATATAAGATATAAGATATAAGATAAGATAAGATAAGATAACCCGTGAAAACCATAAAATTCACAATACATTAGTATAATTAACAAAGACCATATCATTTTTCAGGTTTAAATACTTTTTTAACGTCACCATAACTATTTTTTTTGCTAAATCCTCGATTATTTTTAAGATTGAAAAGGGGATTAATCAATTCACATACACATCCACTTTTTACAACGATAACAGACATACGAGCAGGCAGAGCCGCAGGCAAAAGATAGTATATTATAAACTAACGATGGTCCCCGGCTTGGCTTGTGTGCAATGTTTCCAAACGGCTAAGAATAAAATGGTAACTTGTCCTTTGAAAAACTTGAATTTAAAAAACATTTGAATGAAAACGAAATTACTTATTACTTAATAATAATAAATTATTACTTAATAAGGTGTTTCAAGAGAATAATGAATACAGACCTAATAAGCTAGAATGTCTTCTTAATAACTGTATTCGTTGCAACAACAGCCCTGCAGAGAGAAGGAAAACTTGACACAATCTTTTTTTTTTACGTGCGGTGTACGGTGCGGTGTGCCACTCTACGCCTGTAATAGGAGGGATCCGGGAACAGCTGCTATTAAGACATCCGGACCAACTTGACACAAACCTTATACCAACCCGTCTGGCCAGCGTGGTATAGTAGGCCATAACCTCCTTTCTAAAGAGAGGCTTATGTCCAGCAGTGGACTGTTAAAGGCTGTTGATGTGATGATTATGTGAATTTATGTATGTTCGTATTTTATGTACTGCCGTACCGTTAGTGAGATCATGTTGAAATTTTCTAAACACGTTGCAATTTAAGTGGTGTTATGCACGTTCATTTGATTTTGCAGGAATAAATTATTTTTACGCAAGTGCAATTATATGGGGCCATGAAAAGAAGAATCTTAGAAGACTCGCCCAAGGAGCCCGAATGGCAGGCCATAGAACCTAAATAAATTTTAAAGAAAACAATCTTTTGTATCAATTTAATCAATTTAATTCTCGTTACTATATTGGCATCCGCTAACTGTAGCCCAGAAGCTGAAACTAAAATTTATTTGTTAGTATAAATCTGACCCCTAACAAATTCAATAATAATTAATTAAATAATATTTATAAAAATAGCTTGCCTAGGAATGAACGACAATCTATAATAACTAATGTAGTATTGACGTCGAAACTGTAATGTTCTTAAATTGAATAATAAAGTACTTTTCAGTAATCTATCAAGGCAAAATAATACGAGATACATACGGTTTGGTCGCTTTGCGCGCCAATCAATAGCTATACCCCCACCAGAGTTATTTCTGTACATCACACAGTGAAAAGAGAACATTCACACATAGATTTAGTTCCAATCAATTCACCAAGCGCTGCCGTCGCGCTGTCAGCCATATTATTTTCAGTTTTGGCAGTAGAGTACCTCCTTGCTGTCAAGTCAATATCAGTTTACAAAATATCTGAAATAGTGATGTGCTAAATGTATCGCTGAGCTGAAAAAATAGATATACAAGTATATCACTACATTTGATTACAGTTAGTTACAGATATATATTACTTGTCTAGCTCATTTAGTGCATTGATTTAATTCAATTGACTGGTAATCATAATAAATGATTCACTACTATTAACTTTAGCTCATTTTAAACCACTGTTATTAACATAAAAATGACATTTCTTATTAAAGCTTAAATTATGCTCTTGCTCTGCTGTTAAGATTTTCTTAATTTCTAGTTATTTATTTATAGTTTTTTCAACCTAGATTTATTATTGCCTTCAGTAACTAGTAGTATTAAACTTTGAAATTAAAGAAGTAATGTAAAAATAATCTTGACTCCAAATCTGATAGACTGAAATGGAATTATAGTGAGCTCAATCTGTCGACTTCTACGTACAATGTTACAAAAATGTAGTAATGAATGGTATAATAATAATGGAATAATAGTAATAAAAATAAAAGAGAGCAAGCAAATACAGAAATGCTCGAAGCAAACCCGATGCGAGAGGTTTTACTTTAAAATCCTTTCCAATGTCCAATATTACCTATGTGACTCAGTGTATGGGATTTCTGAGGATGATAAAGAGGAAGATAAAAGAAGTTTTGAAGTGTTTAAATGTAAGAATAAAGAAAATGGCCCACCATCACCACCACCCACATCGACAAATGTTGGGGAAAGGAGCAGAAGGAACCAGCTTGTGAGAAGAAATAGAGTAAAGTTACTCAATGCTCTGCCTTTGAATCACAACAAACAAGACTATAAATAAAATATACATTTTATTACAGCACCGTTTTATTGTGTTTGTATTCCGAACGTTTAATGTCATTGTGGTATCATGAATATGATTAACTACTGAGGAACATCAAAATATTTTGTTTTGGTCTAGACTAGAGGCAAGCATTACAATTTAGTGTGAAAAAAAACAGTTTTTTTTTACAGAACTCATTTATTTTGATAATGAGGATAGATCAGATTTCATAAATATAAAATAAATGTTTTTATTTACATTACCTTATCTAGCGATCCGCACCAGCTTCGCACGGGTGCAATGAAGATACTATTAATATGGTGTCAGTGTGGAATAATTAATTATACTATTATTGTGACAGGACTATACTACAGGACATCTTTATATGCAAAATTGATAGGTCCACTCCCATCCTGCAGGCTGCTTTAACATCCAATATCTTCTAAAATATTTATTTTAATGATATGCCAAGTATATGCCGATGTAAAGAACCATGTTTTTTAAGACAAATCTTAATTCTCGGCTTGTCTCTTCTATAATATGCATGTATTATACATTTACACCTTCTTCTTGAATCACTCTCTCTATTGTTGAAAATCACATTAAAACCCGTTGCTTAGTTTCAAAGATCTAAGCGTACAACAACAAAAAGCGACTTTATTTTATACTGTGTATATATATTTATAAAATTTTTCAAACTATAAGAAAAATAATACAAAGAATAATTTTGTGTAAAAATTATGCTTCTTATTCAGCCTCTTTCCCATGCCATTTAGCCTATGAAAAATATTTTAAAATAAGAGCCAAAAAACATTCTTGACTTTCTTGAGCGCCGACAATTCATTTTTGACGTGACAACGTCTTATAAATTGGTTTGCCGGGTGACATGAAGTGTCGTTAAACTGCGTTACGCTCCTCTCACGTTATGCGCTCACAATGAGAGCGAGTGAGAGGCACGCGTCCCTTCCACTCGGGCATGGTTAGCCCGCCTAAGAGCGAGAGAGACAGACATAAATAAATAAATGTTTTAAATTGTTACTATTATTTCATCCTTCTTCCTACTATACGAATGAATATTCACATTAAAATTATTTTACCACTTAAAGTCGTTGTCACGTAAAACTTTCGCCCGTATACCGACTTTACAGGCAACCAATTTTTATTTTAACAAACATTTTTATTTTAAGCAAACCATGCAAGAAATTTTCGTGCCTTTTGTTACCTTTTGTAATTGAATGAAAAATCAAAAGAATAAAAATATTTCTGATGATAATATGAAAATTATCGTCAAATTTTTAGATAGCATAGGAACATCAAGCTGACCGCCTGTATAAAATCTAATAGGCAATGCAATGGATTTTTCGAATTTGCAGTTTGTATTTTCGAAAATTCGCTACGAGCGTGCGTCACTTTAAAATCGCCTTTCAATGGGAACTTTTTTGGCGTCCAAATATCATAATTATGCCCAAAATATCAAATGCGCTCGAATTGAAGACTCGTTCTTTTTCATCTGTTTGAACCTGTGACAAATCCAAGAATCCAACACTATTTGCGCTACTAGCGCTATACGAATTCCTTGTAACTATGCTATAACGCTTGAAGCATTTTCTTTGCCTTTGACAGTTATCTGTGCAACAGATGTATGCATACTTTGCTGACTGTACATTACTGTGTACAGCCTTGCAGACCTTGCTTGCAGTCAGCTGCGCGAGCTGCGCAAACGGGTCACTGTATTCGCGTCGTGTATTATATTATTATAATATTCATGCTCTCGTCGCAACTATAAATATTTTCAAGTCGTGAAGGTAACATAGCGTAATTTCACCTAATATTTTTTTAACAATAGCGAAAACCGCTACAATGCTATTTCGCGGAATAAATAGTATAAAATCAAAATCATGTCTCCGGTCTCCTGTAACAAGAGGTAAGTTATTTGATACACATTTAGATTATCCAACTATGCAATATTTAAACTTAGTTTTATTTTACAAAACCGTAAAACCAGATTTGTTACCTAAATGCTACTTAATGTAGAAGAACATAACTGAATATGATTCTAAAAATAACATTGGTCAACACAATTTTGTAAAAAGAAAGGTACTTAATTACTAATTTTGAATTACCTGCCTATTTCCAATTTGACATTATAATTATTTTATTTTGATGAGTACTACTTTATGATATCTCTAAAATTGAATATTTACGGTTTTAAGTTGATATTTAAGAGAAGGTAAAAAATACCTTCTCATAATAAAAAGCTAGCCTATTTGTGTTTTAGTTTTCTCGCGTTAAATGTTTAATAAATAAATCTCAAGAAAATATAAAAAAATGTCACCACACATGCAATAGGCATTTGTCGTGGGTGACTCGTGACATTACTTTTTTAACCTTAGTGCTCAGCTAAGAATGGTCAGGCATTAACACCATTAGTAAATAATTATGCTATGCTATAATTATAATATTTCTTTGACATAGCAAGACAAAATTGGGATCTTAGACATCTATTGTATTAACATAAATGGGTCTTATAACTGGATAGGCAAAAACATTCCGATCTACGCCTTTCGAATTATCCCTTAAGTGCTACCTACAGAATAAGGGGGAGAATTTGGGGGAGTCTGTCATGGGGTAACCTCGCTCAATCGGAGAAAAACAACGGAAGAGTCTACTATATGTGCCGAAGCATTTCTCAAAGGCAGTTCTCGTAATAAAAGAATTAAACATCCAACGTTGACTGTAATGTGATTATATCGTATTGTAACCGAAAACTGAATCGGTAATCTGCTAGTCTTAGTAATACTTTACTTTGAGTTGTGAGATCGAAAGATGATCGGTACTGAATTGTGACCGAACTTTTATTACGAGAATTGGCCTTCTGAATATTCACTTGACGGATGACTATATAGCTCGGCTGTCGTGGAGCTCTAATTAATTTATGTCTTTGGGCCGAAACGTGTTCTTGAAAATACCTTTTCAACATTTACATGTATGATAAATGTGTTTCAAAACTTAGGCGTCATCAGCGAACATGGAGTCCTCTCTTATCCCATAAGAAATACTGTTGGCTAATTTTTAAGATGTATAAATATATATATATCTATACTCTATACTAATATTATAAAGCTGAAGAGTTTGTTTGTTTGTTTGTTTGTTTGTTTGTTTGAACGCGCTAATCTCAGGAACTACTGGTCCGATTTGAAAAATTCTTTCAGTGTTAGATAGCCCATTTATCGAGGAAGGCTATAGGCTATATATCATCACGCTAAGACCAATAGGAGCGGAGCACCAATGAAGAATGTTTCAAAAACGGAGAAAATTTATTACTATTGAGAGACGCAGACGAAGTTGCGCGGGTCAGCTAGTATATATATATATATATATACATACCTACTCGTGCATTTAACAGATTTGTTTTGTTTGCAACTCAATGCAGTTAATTTTCACCTTTTCAAAGTATTCACAATACCACCCGTATCATTGTTTTCGAGTATATTTTGGAAACACATACGTTACAAATAACACTAACTACTACTGCTGCCAAAAAGGCTGAAATTACAACTTCCTTTTTTAGACAAAAAATAGAGGTTTGATGTTTAGAGTTTGTCAATTTAAGGGAATTTATAACTTTTCTAATGAAAATTGAGTGCAGGGATTTCTTTTTAGTGAAGTACCTAATTTATTGTTGCATCAGTAGACACCAGAAAAATTCTAATTGAATAAGAGTCCATACCGGTAGATAACGACATTAATAGTTAGAAAGAATTCAGATGTTATGTTGTTTATTTTTACGAGGAGTAGGGTTGAGAAGAGAAAGATACGTAATTGTAAGGAAGGGATGGAATATCACTCAAGTTGCGAATAGGCAAACTAATAAAGGTTTACTTATAAACGATTACAAACTACCATAGGATGGCCCATGTCCTTGTCCACCAACACAACTGTACAAAGTAACATAGAGCTCAGTCTATTTACATTTAAAACTAAAAATACGACGACACACTTTGTAACAAAACTGATATTGTAGCAATAATCTGTCATACGAAAAATGATAAACCCAAAAAGAAAACGGTAAGAGTCGGTTATCGCACTTGGATTTTAGAAGTTATTAACGTATTTATATTTACCAGTAACTATCAATGATACTAAACGTTTGTGTTAATTAGGTACGAATTTACTAACGACATTATTGGATATCGTAGCGACCTTGACAATAACAACAGATCGATTATGATAAGATTTACACTTTTGTCATATCTTTGTTTGCTATTGTATAGTCTTTATATATACTTTGTCGTTGTTATTTTAGATTTATTTTCGTACTTGAATGTGAAGCTAAATGACGCATTCTAGTCAATATGAATGATAACACTCAGAACGTAAAACCAAGATTTATTTATGACTTTCTAGCTATTTTCCGCGAGTCCTCTTGTCTTAATGTAGATTCTGCCAGTTTACGCCTCGGAAACGGTGCTTTCTGTTTCTGAAGGAAAGGTACTACTTGTTTTATAGGTACTGTGACTTAGTCAATCGTGTATAAAAACTATATGATGATCGGTAACGGTATGGAAGCGTAACAAATAAAAAATGCATGGATTATAATAAAAATATCCTAAGAAGCATTTGGATGTTGTTTAAAAGTTGTAACTTTTACTCAACATTCAAATGCACTTGAAAATACTTGAAAACAACTTGAAAATACACCTGTATAAATACTATACTTACCTACAGGTAAGTATAGTATTTATACAGGTGTATTTTCAAGTTAAATTCAATGACATATTACGTAGTATGATAGCTACTTTAGTAAATATTTCAATTTAATAATCCTTTCAATGTAAGGTCGATGATTCACACTGACAACAATGCGGCATTCAGATGTCATCAATAAGGCAACAAGTGATTAAAGTAACCATAAAAAAATATATAATATGAAATTTCATGCGGTGATTTACCTACGCCATTCTAAATGTTAGTCGGTTATTACTAGTATAATGTATGATTTATGAAGCCCCGTCTACTTGTAGACTAGTTCCATTCTTTAGTTAGTACTTACTAAACTTAGGTAGTAGTACATAGTAGTCTATGTTCAATGTAATTTGCATTTAAACTACTTAATTGCCTTGACTGCTTATTTGTAATTCTCGCAAAAGAGAACATAATGAATAAAATCTCATAATTGATAACGCAATTTAGGGGTTTATAAGGCATGGTTAGAAATACACCAGATAACTTGTTATGGTCGCCTAGTCCTTTAGAAAGTTGTCAAGGCTTTATCTGCCTGGGACGGTCATAGCTGGCATTTATTATAACAAATATATAATTGAGGACCTGCTTTGGAAATCCTCATTTCGAGGTTGAACTTCAGAACAGTACCGCAATAAATAATATTGGATCAATTTAATAACCAAAGGTGAGTTAAAAGCCTGATCAATATAATCAGTAAAACCAAATCATTAAAAGTTAAAGTACAAGAAAGCTAAATGATAAGTGCTTTATTCTAAAAGCTTAAAGCGTTCTTCAAAAATAATCGAGGTTTCTTCGATTTCAACAACAACGAAATGAATTCTGCTATAATGAATTCTTTACACTGAATGCCATCCGAAAAAATATACATAAAAATTCTTCTCTCTCTTCTCTTTTTATATACAACTAGTTTAGTGATTATAGGAGAAGTGCGATATTTATATAAAAATATATAGGTACTTTGGTCATGAATTTCTGTCAAAAACTTTTAATGTAATTAATGATACAGATTTTGATAATTATTTAAAAATTATATTATATTTAAAATATATATATAAAATATATATATTATATTAAATTTAAAAAATATATTAAAATTATATACGAGTATGAAATGAAAGTTAATTAAACGTACCATACAAATTTATTTACTCATACCTTCCCACATTTTGAATACATGCCCTTAATCGGCCAGTCATCGATCGCAGCACATATCACATTATATCTATTTCTGCTTAAACCAGAGATGCTGGGAGAGACTCTTAATTCTGATAAGGTTTAGCGCAGCCCTTCTCCTCCATATATTGCCATATCTTGTAGTCCAGTGGGTTTAAATATGGACTATAAGAGGGCCATTCTTCATCCCCTATGAAGTCAATTCTACGGCCTGTCAACCAGTTTTGCGTGCTTCGTGCCTAATGAGCTGAAGCAGACTCCTGTTGGAATATCCAATGTCTGTTTTTGAACGTTGTGGGAGAAAGAGTTTAAACTATGTTCATTAGGACGGTATATTGGTACAACATGGCACAGTTTTTCATGCCTTTTTCATAGAAAAACACCTCGGTTAAGCCTGATTGTGAGACTGCAAGCATCACCATGAATTATGAAGGAAAATGCAAACCGTAAAGTACCATACCGCGTCATAACAAAGCTCGGACTTTTTCCAACGCTCGCGCTCGTCCAAAAAATATCCGCTTGGTGTCGGCTAACAGCTTGTAGTCTCAGGTCTTCATTCTGCTCGTCACACTCTTTTGACCGTGGTTTTGCTTAGCTGAAGAGCTAAGATTTTTGTATACGCACACAATTTCCTTGGATTTGCGCCTTCACTGCTTTGATGACTGCTGGTGTCCTAACTGTGCGAGGTCAGCCGCTCCTCGATCTTACGAATCTTACTTATGATCTTCGAAGCTTCAATCTTCAGTTTATCGTTCGATAGTGCGACAAACAAACTGTAGCGTTATGTTAAATTTTTGCAGAATATTGAAAATTTCTGTTGGCGCCTAACCACATCGGTGCAACACGATATAGCCTCTTTCTTATTCATACAAATTTTGAATAAGTAGGTACTTGGGTGATAATAGATATATAGATGAAGATGAAGATGAAGTTTGATTTCATAAAAACACTATCAATCTAAGGTTCTATGTACATTATGTGACCTGAAAATATTTTGCTGAGCCATGTAATATAATACTACGATTCAATGGATCCTAAGTCATGTGACATTATAATTAATGTTTCTACTTTGAACAGATTTCAGAGGATTAGCAACCGTGTTACAACAGGAGCCTTCGCATCCACATGTTAGAACTTCTGTGCCAGGACCAAAATCAAAGGAACTATTTAAAGATTTAAATTCCATGCAGGTAAGTTATTAAAAATAATATAACTTTATATATAAATACATATAAATATGATTTACTGAAATGTAATAGATACCATGTCTACCATGTCTAATAGGTATACAACATAAGGTACATTTAAAAATGTTGTACATTCGACGTACCTATTATTTTACTATACGACAATCTCACTTATGATTATAAGTAGGTACTATCTATAGATATTTTATAAACACAAAAATTTAATGGCGTTCTGCTTAATTAGTCTTAAGTATAAATATTAAATTATTATCTTATCTTACTGGTTTTAATTTTTATATCGTACCGTATCGTTTAAACCTCAAACTTTACAGACGTTTCATGACATAAAATATTTTATAAAACTTTTAAAGAAACAAGGAACTTATTATATTATATTTGTGTTTCACATAACGAAGTTTATAATAGCATCATTAAAAAAACCGAAACACAAAAAAAAACTTAAAAAAACAACAACTTCTCATTGAGACTGTTCTAATAAGCCCAAACATGGTATATATGCTCTAATTTTCTGAGGAGTTGGCTATCCCACTGACTACTTGCATTAAGTTCCATGTCATGGAAATACCATCAAAGTAACAGTTTACCAAATTTCAGATCAATCGGACCTGTGAATTTTAGTGAGATCCCTTCATCACCTAGGAAATGAACTGGTGATCTTCAAAATTTATAGATAAGAACCATCTCGATCATATTGGCTTTCGAACAAAAAAATCTGCATCGAAATTGGTCAATCCGTCCAGGAGCCATGATGCCAAAGACTGATACACAGATACGCATCTGGGTATGTGTATCTATACAGATACACAGGTTAAACTTATAAGACCTCTCGTTTTCCGTCGGGGGTTAAAAAACACAACAATTGTCCGCCGCCATAATGCATCACAGAACGAACGATATCAGATCCTCTAACTGTGGATATTGTGAATAATAATATTTTTACGAAACTAATGTTGGGCCATATGATACAATAGGCCGGTTATTTATTGATTGATGCGGTGGGCGTGTATTTTCCATGTTATGAAATACATTCATTTCACGAAATGATCGTACACATCATCAATTATTCTAATGTCTAGGTACGACATCTACACCTATTTTATACAGATAAGCTAGAGAATACAAAACACTTTAAACACTAATATTATTTTTATGATTTCCATCGGCTTCAACTGTCTCTATTTAAACTCTTAACAGATCTCAATGAAAATCAATGTTTTGTTATGAATAAATCATACGTGTACAATTCATGTTTGTAGTAATGTTATTTTGAAAGAACATAAATAAATGAACGGATACATATCACTGCGTAATATCGGTATATCGTTAAGTACATCATTGTGTATGTATAAAATGTATCTTTTATGTTTACTTTCGTTACTTTTATCACGTTAATACGTTTTCTTTAAGATAAATTTAATAAATAGGTCCAGTTCTGACAATTCACGTAGTCAAATTTGATATTTAAAATTTCAGCAAGCTAGCTCGGTTCAACTATTTGCTGACTACGACAAAAGCATGGGTAATTACTTCGTGGATGCCGACGGGAATGTCTTTTTGGACGCCTTCACACAAATCTCGTCTGTACCCATTGGCTATAATCATCCGCAACTCTTGAACGTATTCAAGGACGAACAAAACCTTGTGAGTATTGTGACATTCGATTTATATCTATATCCTATAAAGTATAATTGTTTAACATAGATTATTCTTTCAGAAAGCACTAGTGAATCGCCCAGCTCTAGGAGTTTTCCCTGGGTTAGATTGGCCCCAAAAATTGAAAAATGTGCTAATGTCGGTTGCCCCTGCCGGACTTGATAATATTGCCACTATGATGTGCGGTTCCTGTTCTAATGAGAACGCTTACAAAACCGTTATGATGTGGTACCGCACCAAGCAACGTGGAGGAAAAATAGATTTCACGCCTGAAGAAATCAGTTCTTGTATGCTCAACCAAGCACCGGGATCGCCAAACTTATCTATTTTGTCTTTTGAGGTTAGTTTTTAACATGATTTTTACAAGAGTCTATTAATTAATGGTAGAGAGTATGAGTAGAGTATATGAACAGATTTTTTTATTAATATTACTTTCGTTAATTCGTTTTATCAATTTCTCGTCACATTTTCAATCGTTTCGTATAGGTATGCTGTTAGTTTACATTTTAACCGCAGTCTTCTAATTTTTATATTCTCAACTAATATTCTGCTGAAGATTATCCCTTAAATATTCTCGTCCTGCATTAAGTTCTGGCATCTAGTAGTCAACACATTGTTTTTAAAGATTTCGGGTCCTAAATATAGGCAACAAATCACTTTTGCTGTTATTTTTGAACAAATTACCGGTTAAAATAAGCCAAAACTCAATAATCATCTCAATAAAACTGAAGATTTAATACTCAGGTTTAAGTTAATGCTACTAACAAGAAAATGATTTTTATTCTTAAATTTAAATTTGACCATTAGACACGGCGCATAAAGTAAAATATGACATATGATAAAACAGTATTATGTAAGTACTGCGGTTGTAATATTTGCTGTTTTCGAAGTAGTACTGACTTCGATAAAAGCAAACATAACATAATTATGGCTTCCAAGCCATATTAATTCCGTAAATGTTTTCAACTAATTTTAAGATATTATGTTATGAGTCAGTTAGTTATCATAATTGAATTAATAGTGATGGGTCAGTCATTAAAGCAAGCCCAAACAATAATAAAAAAAGCGTGCGTAATTATACGCAAGAGTCCTTTTGCACGACTTTCAAAGCAATTTTTTTTTTATTTTTACAGAAATTATCCTTTGCAAGTTTACAGGTCATTTCAAGGTTTTTGTGTTCTTCTCATAGTCCACAAGTGCAAGATAGAGGGGCCGATGCTCCTCCGTCTTCTGTATGGTGGGGCAAACTATATGAATTTATGTATAAATTTATGCCTACTGCTATTTTGTAACGCCATGGTACGGAGCGAGAGTGCGTGGAACACGGCGGAGTGGGACCGAGAGAAGTTCAGAACTCTTCCAGCCCGCCAGGCCCGAGAACGGGCCAGGTGCCGCAGACGACTCAGGCGCCGGAGGTCTGTCCTCCAGTGCCAGGCTGGGCGACGATACGGAACGCGCACGCCCAGGAAGGGAACATCCGGGTTCCCACACAGGACCCCTTCTGCCCATCTATAAGCAGTAGACGGCCCGAGGTACGTCGGGGTGCCCGGGCTTTCCTTTCTAGGGTATACCTGGTTCCCCGGCTACTGGTACCTGGAGACGGCGTGCGGTTTTTGGTCGGTACGAGTCCATCATAATCACCTATTGGTGGGTGGTATCCGAGGGGAGTTCCGCACAGAAAAACAAATAAAAAGTACCATTTTGTAAACCACGTACTTAAGTGTTAGAGTGCCTTGTTTAAATATTTTGTGGTAAATGACAAACACATCCATATCCAGTAGTAGTATCCGTTTTTGTTTACTGATGAGCATGTTTACAACACCTATAACCGCTTTTAAAGTCACTGACTAATGCAGTTCGACGATCATCTAACCTTCAGGTCCCCCTTTGTGTGAAATTGATCGTAATCGGTCGAGCTAACGGGCTTAAATGCTTCAATAGCTTTGATTTCCGTCCAATATTACTGTAAGATGGTAGAAGAATACTCTGCCTGTTTATAAATATAGATAAATGTAACTCTGGCAATTTGAGCTCAATCGGTGCAGTACTTTTTGAATTTTTGAAGTGTACACAACCCATTTTTTTTAAATATAATTATATAAACAAAGCGAGTTTGATAAAATGTGTTGCCTAGTATTTTAAATATATTTTTATGATTTAAACCAAGATATATTCAGGAGTACTAGAGGATGAACCACGAACCTAGGAAATTAACTAATGAAATCATGTAAATAGATAAGATGTCACAATAAACTTTATGATTTTGGATTGGAACGCTTGTAAAACTACTATGTCGACTGTTTTAAAATTATTATTTCTATATTATTTATATTTATAACTATTATTTAAATTATTATTTTAAAATTATTATTAGATTCTTATATAGAGTTTGTTACTAAAGCTAACATACAACTAGTTCTGTGTTTCAGGCAGTCGCTTGACTATATTAGTAACAGGAAGTTCATATGTTAAAATTCTAATAGATTGATAATGTAAATTACTGGTTGGTATACACAAATATATATTTATTACATATTGTTTAATGACCTAATTATAGTTTTAATGATATCATTTTAAAATTGCTAAGATGTTTACTGTGTCGGCGTAATTAAGCTTACCCAAAGATTCCCCGACTAGAGTTTGACACTTTGTATTTACACGATACGGCATATATTTTCAAAACTTTGTTTATCTTATTATATAGATATGGTGCTAAGATGGAATAAAATTTGTTTATGTACGTATGCGTTGTTTGGGGTTTGACACATACAATGTCGTTCCTTCTCTTGTCTAAGAACATAGGATTAAATGGTAGTTCCGCGTGTTGTTTTAGTATGATCATCATCATCATCATCAACAGGCTTTTGCTACTGGACATAGGCCTCTCCTTCGAAAGGAGGTTTTGGCCTACTATACCACGCTGGTCAGACGGGTTGGTATAGGGTTTGTTTCAAGTTTTCCTTCTCTATGCAGTGCTGTTGTCCTGCGTAGTTTGCTTCCTTAGTCGCCTCTTACGACACCCTCGGGATGAATAGGGGTGGTGACACTCTGTATTCTTATTCCGTCACCACACGGCACGGTTAGTATGATGTACAATATAAATAACTGTCGAACTGTTATTACTTTGCATTCCAGATAGAGTTAAGGAGTAGGAAACCTAAATGGGCGTTTGTGTGATAGGTCTGTTTTATTACATAATAATCTGCAATACAGCGTAAGTTTACATATATACATAAAAACTCTGTGTTTGCGAAAATTTAAATTTGTGTCAATCGCGATACCTAAATATTTCAAGTATACTTCAAGTCGTGACTTAGCTGAGAATAATAGAACTGTATCGTCCGCGTATGACAGTATGATAATTTGGTAATTTTAAGCTACATAGGTCATTAATATAAATGAGGAATAACGTTGGTCCTAATATGCTACCTTGCGGAAAGCACCTACCTCAGAACTCGCACACTGACCGATTTTGACAGATTGATAGCGGTCAGTAAGATAATCAGTAAATAGCTGAAGTTGTGTTCCCCTTATTCCATTTTTTTCTGGCTTCTGCAATACTATAAAACAGGAGATAGTATCGAAAGCTTTGGCAACATCTAAAAAGATCCCGATAGAGCACATACCCTTGTCTAAATTATTACTTATATAATTTGTCAATTTATGAACTGCTTGGTTAGTAGATCTTTTAGGTCTAAAACTGATTTTGTGATAGCAAGTGATAGCAATTATCTTCAAGGTATTTCATTAGTCTCCTATTTATATTTTTTTCTAGGATTTTGTACAAACCTGTTAATATTGAGATGGGTCTGTAAATTAGTAATAATATGTTTATCTCTAGATTTATACATAGGTATGACTACTGCTTTTTTAAGTAGTTTAGGAAAAACGCCTGTTTGTAAACACAGTTGAAAAGTGTGTGTCAACGGGGGAGCTAGTAGATCTTTAGCTCTTAAATAAAGCTGTTAATTACAGTATTAGAAATATTGTCCCATCCTACTGAGCAAACATCCTTCAACTCTGTTATAATACCTAATACTTCATCCACATCGGTGTCTAGCAAAACAAAAGAATCCAATGTTAGAGAGATAGAGCTATTTGAGTGTACAATCTTTTTTGTTAAATTTCTGCCAACATCAGCAAAAGTATTGTTGATTTTATTTATTGCATTTCTGTTGATAATAGATCAAGTGATGATGATCTCTTGCTTTTTTGAGTGTGAGCTAATATTTTTAATATATTTCCAATGAGTTTACTATTTTTTACCCGCTTTTTGTTATTCTGTTTTTTCGTAATCTAATTATTTCAAAAGGTTTTTACAGTAACTTCTGTATCTCTTGTAAGATACAGAAAGTACCGTATTTCCTGGTTCGAGTTTACATTTTTGATGTAGTTTATTTCTATGTATTAAGCAGCGGACGAGACTAGGCGTAATCCATGGCTTAATGGCTTTTTATTTCCTAGATATTTAAATAATAACAGTATTTTTAAAATTGCATTTTGAAAATTGCATATCCTTTATGATCCATACGAAAACAGTATTCTTTTCTTATTTAGAATTAAGTTAAAACATCGTTTGAAAATAATATTGTGTACTCTTTAGTCAATTTATTAACCATGTTTGCGTGTGTTTTGCCATATCAGTTTCATGAATGGATTTGTGATTTCTATTCAAATTAAGACAAGACATATTTTTCATTTTTTAAATTGTTACAATGTAATTGATCGTATATTATTGCTGTAATTCCAGGGTAGTTTTCATGGACGCACCTTTGGTGCGTTAAGCTCTACGAGGTCTAAACCCATACATAAATTAGATTGCCCAGCATTTGATTGGCCTGTTGCTCCATTCCCAAGATACAAATATCCTTTAGATCAATTTCAACGAGAAAATGCCCAGGAAGATAAGCGGTAAGTAATTATTTATTAGGTCAGGCCAACCGAGCCGAACATATAAACGCGTACGTAGTCGGTTTGGTTTGCATAAGTAGTCGCATGACAATAGTTGCTATTTTAGATCTTTTTAATCCATTTTAATATGTTTTTCATCATCATCATCATCATCATCATCAGCCTATCGCAGTCCACTGCTGGACATAGGCCTCTCTCATTGCACGCCACTTAGATCGATTTTGGGCTTCTCGCATCCAGCTCCTGCCAGCCATCTTGCGCAAATCGTCACTCCACCTGGCCTGTGGGCGTCCTACACTACGTTTGCCGAGACGCGGTCTCCACTCAAGAACTCGTTTTCCCCAACGGTTATCGGTTCTGCGGCTAATATGGCCAGCCCACTGCCACTTCAGCTTGCTGATCCGGTACGCTATGTCGGTGACCTTAGTTCTCTGCCGGATCACCTCATTTCTGATGCGATCCCTTAGAGAAACGCCGAGCATAGCCCTTTCCATAGCACGTTGAGCGACTTTGAACTTGTGGACCAGCCGTACCGTAAGTGTCCACGTTTCAGCTCCGTATGTCATGACGGGTAGGACGCACTCATTAAAGACTTTCGTCTTAAGGCACTGTGGGATCGACGATGAGAAGACTCGGCGTAGCTTCCCAAACGCTGCCCAACCCAACCGAATTCTTCTGTTCACCTCGTCCTCGAAGTTGTTTCTACCTAACTGCAATGTCTGCCCGAGGTACACATAATTTTGAACAACTTCGAGAACGGCACCGTGTACCGCAATCGGTTCCGGTAGTACATGTTCGTTGAACATGACCTTGGTTTTATCCAAGTTCATCCGTAGGCCGATGCGTACAGAAGTGTCAGCTAAGTCATTCAGCATTTGCTGTAGGTCCTGCAACGTCTCTGCCATGATGACGATGTCATCTGCAAATCGCAAGTGAGAGATGTATTCGCCATTGATATTGATGCCACGCCCTTTCCAGTGCAGCGTCTTGAACATGTCCTCCATTGCATTTGTGAACAGTTTCGGGGAAATAACGTCCCCTTGTCTCACTCCTCGATGCAATGGTACGGGCCTTGTTTGCTGATTCTGTACTTGGACGGACATGGTGGCGGCTTCGTAGAGACATCTCATCACTTGGATGTATCGCCAATCTACTTGGCAACGCTGCAGGGACTCCAGAACAGACCAGATCTCGATCGAGTCAAAGGCTTTCTCATAGTCCACGAATGCTAGACACAGGGGCTGATTATATTCTTCGGTCTTCTGTATAATCTGCCGCACTGTGTGGATGTGGTCTATGGTGCCATATCCGCTCCGAAACCCAGCTTGCTCCGGTGGTTGGAATTCGTCGAGTCTTTGCGCAAGACGGTTCGTGATGACTCTCGAAAACAGCTTGTAGACGTGGCTTAGAAGGGATATGGGTCGATAGTTCTTCAACCTGGTCTTGTCACCCTTTTTGAAGAACAAGACGACCACACTCCTACTCCACGCTTCTGGAGTTCTCCCTTCAAACAGGACAGCGTTGAAGAGCTTTTGGAGCTCCCTTAGTACGGGTTTACCCCCGGCCTTCAGCAGCTCTGTTGTAACGCCATCCTCTCCAGGGGCTTTTCCATTTTTCAGCTGTCCAAGAGCCATCTCGATTTCGTCAATGCTAACTTCTGGCAGGTCTTCGGTGTAGTGACGTGTTAATGTGGCTCTAGAGTCCTCATTTTCGGGATCAGGTCGAGATGCATGCGAAGCGTATAACCGGCCATAGAAGCTTTCCACTTCCAAAAGGACTGCCGGCTTCGAAGCAACGACTTCTCCACTTTCTGTAGTCAACTTTGTCAGGTGGCTTCTTCCAAGAGATTGTACGAACACTTTTGACCCCCGATTTTGCTCGATCGCTCTTTCAATTGAAAGAGTATTGGAGCACCGGAGGTCGTGTCGTACGAGTTTACTGATCTCTCGGTTTAGAGTCCGCTTTGCCGACAAAGTGACAGGTGGGTTTTCACGTCGTTTCTTCATCAGCCCTAGGGTCCTTTCTGAAAGCTTCGACTTCCTGCCCTTACGCTGCATTTCACAAAATCTCATACCTTCTTCCCTGAGGATCTGAACCACATTTTTGAGGTTCTGGTTTACGTCGATTGTGGTTTCCACGGCAGCGAATCGGTTTGCCAGTTTTGACTGGAACGTTTCAGATCCTGTCATGGCCTGGAGCCGAGTTGGTCGGAGCCTGGATTTCATCAAACAGACACGTTCCGCCTTAAAGTTGATATTCAGAGAGCCCCGGACAAGTCGGTGATCACTACCGGTATTAAACCTATTGATCACTGAGACGTCTCTGAATATGTGCTTTCTATCCGTCATGATGAAATCGATCTCATTTCTAGTCATAGCGTCGGGGCTTTGCCACGTCCACTTCCTTTGGGGCTGTTTCTTGAAGAAAGAATTCATCAAAAACAGCCCCTCCCGTTCGAGGAAGTTGACCAGCATTTGCCCCCTATGATTCCTGCTTCCAAATCCATGGGATCCTACTACCGATTCGCTGCAATTCTGTACTCCCACTTTAGCGTTGAAGTCACCCATAACAACGTTGTAGTGGGTCTTAGTTGTGAAGTGGAGGGCCCTCGATATGTCATCGTACATATCCTCCACCTCGTCGTCCGAATGTGCCGAGGTCGGTGCGTACACTTGCACAACCTTGAGGCTATACCTCTCGGTGAGCTTGATAATGAGGTACGCTACCCTGTTCGACACACTGAAAATTTCCACAACGTTGTCAGATAGGGACTTATTCACCAGAAACCCAACCCCACCTTGGGATTGTTGGTCTCCCTCGCGGAAGTACATTAGGTGGCCTGACTCGAGGGTTATGGTGTCCTCCCCCTCTCTTCGGACTTCACATAGCCCTAGGATATGCCACCTAATCTTCCCAAGTTCCACTTCAAGTTGCGCCAGATGCGAGTCTAGCCGTAGCGTGCGTCCGTTGTACGTAGCCAGGGTCAGTCGGTTGTGGTGGCCTCCCGTAGCCCGGAGATTCTTCGCACCCCCTGCCCCGCCTTTACCGTGGTCGCCACCATGACCAGGAATAGCGGGGCCGCCGGGAACTGGGGGCCGTGGCCTTTGTTGCGTCTGCATGAGAGGGGTTTGCCCATAATCGCCACGCTGGGCAGGCGGGTTGGCGATCGCAGGGCGTAGCTTGTCGCACCGGTAACGCTGCTGCCCGTCACCGGCCTGTTATATTTAGCTACGCCTATTGGGATGGATATACCGCCATCGGTCGGTCGCCAGAGCCTCGTTCGTCGTTCAGCAGGATGCACCGCGGGCAGGTGAGGTTGGCTTGGGGCGAAAGATGGTGGTTCGCCCCTCACACCCCAATATGTTTTTAGCTTATAAATATAAAAAATGTGTGTTTTAAAAGATCGCAATTAATCATTTAGTTACAGTGTAACATGTTAAACTTATTTTACTAGATATTTTGACCACGGCCATTACAGCTTTAGAACTCAACGAATTAATGGTTAAATCCTTGCCGTAGTAACTTTCTTTACTGAATGCGGCTTTTAATCGGTTCGATTCCCACACACCCGGCCGTGACGGCCCGAGGGGTTTCCACACGTACAAAAAAAAAACACAAAAAGAAAGTATATTTCTTTATTGCGCTACCTTTTCAATAAATTACTTACTATAAACAACATTTTCTATCAGATGTCTGGAACGAGTGGCTGACATTATAGACAAATACGAGAAGAAAAATAATCCCGTAGCGGGTGTTATTGTAGAGCCTATCCAATCTGAAGGTGGAGACCACGAAGCTTCTCCGGCCTTCTTCCAGGGCCTGCAAAAAATATGTCAAGAGGTTAGTTTGTCTAATGTTTTTTCTTATCAGCTTAACAACTACCGTAAAAACTACAACTGCTTTCAGAGTTTTATTGATAAACACGGTAATTATTCGATTAACTTACCCTCCCTTACCCAGGGTGCTGATAAAAGAGCAGTCATATATTTCACCTACAGTGTATATATTCTGCTTAACAATTAATTACACCAGACTTGATTTAGAAAATAAAATGCAGCTGCATTTTTTTTTAAAAACCTACTCTTTTTTTGGCTTATATCTACGGCAATTATAAGGCTAACCTACTCCATAGTTACCACAAGTATATGTGCTTGGCCCAGATTACTATTCAGTAAAGCTAAAGCAATATTAATAATCAATGTGAGCATAGGTAACAACCTACAAAATCTTATCAAATTTTCGAGAATAATTGCGTAGAAATGCAACATATTTATTCAAATGCGGTTATTAAAGTAACCAATTTTTTTTAAACAAACAGTAAACAATAGGAATTTATATAAAAATTTATCCACAGTAATTCATACTAATATTATAAATACGAAAGTGTGTCTGTCTGACTGCCTGTTTGTTATCTCTTCACGCTCTAAATTTGGTATAGTCTGATTTTTGAAAAAGATTATAGGCTACTTTTCATCGCGATAACAGACACACGTGGGCGGACCTGCTGGCAAAACCTAGTTTAATACATAAATCAGTAAAAAAACGGTTTGAGTGGTCTATGGACCCCCGATCGGAACGAAGATCCTTTCGTTTTTTGGTAGACCTTTGCTGTACAGTATAATTTATATTAGTGTTGGCAAAAAGTCTTGTTACACATTTTTCGGTCTCGCTCCCATCCACTCAGAGCGTGTAACGCGCGATATGAAACTTCGTTCCAAAAAAAGGTCCTATTAATGAAAATTATAAACAAATAAGGGCATTGAACACTGTCTTGAAAACGCCTTACGAAGGAGTTCCACAGATTATACAAACCCGGCTGAAGAACAACAGGTTTAACTGGGAACAGGTAACTTCTTTGTTACTAACTGTTCTGTTGGTTACGTTAAATTGCTAACGGTAATCGAGGTAAGATTTATTTTGAAACATTTCCCCGATCGCCATAACAATTAAGTTATGGATTAAGACCATTTGATTAACTTTATCAAAGGCTTTTGTCATGTCCTACAGGCGATCTCTTATCTCCTCCGTTACTATATTAGTAAACTAGTATATTATTCATCATCATCATCATCTCAGACCTCCCCATAATATATAATACTATATGCTATTTTTATATTTAATAACTCTTAGATTGGTATTTCCATAGGCTTTCTATTCTTAAATGTTTTGGAACGAAGTTCCTTATCCCACGGTACACGCTCTGAGCAGATGGGAGGGAGACCACTCACGCCGTTTTTTTTTATTACTTTTATGAGCGGGGTATATTATAAATAAAAGTTGTCAGTTAATAACTTTTATTGCACTGTACTTACAAATACTCACTATAATAAACTAGAAATCACTACATAACTGGTTAGTCTTCTTGGTGTCTTTTTTATGGATATACAGAAGACCTTGTCTTAGTGTGTTCGTTACGCCGGCAATATGTTGTCTCGTTTAAGGGTTTGAATGGCACATATAATTAGAGCTCTATGTTGTACAAAAGTGACAAATTTCTTAAATAAGTGCTTCCAAGTGTTTTTTTATCAATATAAGATTTTATTCACTAATATAAGATTCTGCTGAAGTAACGTTACCGAGGCAAAACTAAACGCGTTTTAGTTTTGTCTCGGTAACGTAAACTTAGTTGGATTTAAAGTAACCAGATTAATAGCTTATAATTTAAGCCTGTCAAATGTGCGAGTAAAACCTAAATTTTTGACGTTTTGATTTTCATGCCAATTAAGTTTTTGCTGGGGAAACGTTTTGCTGGTGGCCAGATCTGGAAAACTAAGCTGGAAGAGGAAGTTAGGTGCACTATTGTGTTTTTTCGTACACAAGTAGGCACAATTTGTATCTCACAAAGAGGCACAAATTAATCGCTAATCGCGGTTAATCGCTGCAAAACTGTTGTAATAGTTTTTAATTAAATTAGTAGACGCTCCAGTACTGAATTGAGGAAATTTTGAAAATTTAATTTCTTGTACTGCCTGTCTGTGATTTAGGACAAGGATTACTATCCAGAGTCCTATAACATGAACATGTATCATGTACGTATTATTGATGGATCATATTTAGTAAGAAGGTAGTCATGATACCACTGGTCGTGTTCGTTTTATGTGTATTTGAAAAGTCCCCCGCGACACAGGATATATGTCTAGTGCGGCACTTGTCGTTTTTAGAAAAAAATATATATAAGACGAGCTCTGTTTATCTATTGGGATTGTTCAGGATGTAATTCATTCTAGCTACAAATTATGCTACGAATCAAGTTTCCTCTTTTTGTTACATATTATTTGAAGTCATCGTCAGTTGTCATACGAACATCTGTAGCAATCGTTACGGGTAGTTGGTGCTCTAAAAATTCTAAAACAGTCTTTCTACAGAACTTCGATATCGCCTAGTACTTGGGTTGTGGAGGTCTGATGGCAGTCGTACCACGTAAAAAGAAGAAGTTCAACAGTATCGTAGTAGACTTAAAGCCAACACCAATCTAGTTTGGGAAAAAGGCTCGGAAGGAGATTATTTGTAGTCATTCTAATGAATGCCTCAAAGTGCTATTGTGAGGCCGACTATTCAACAATCACCGCTTGAATTTTTAGTATACAATAATAACTACTTCTCTAATTTGTTCTGATTTACAGAAAGGATCCGCATTAATAATTGACGAAGTACAAACAGGCTGTGGACCGTCAGGGAAAATGTGGTGCCATGAATACTTCAATCTACCATCACCACCAGATGTAGTTACATTCAGTAAAAAAATGTTGACTGGTGGTTTTTACTTTAAATCTGAGTTCAAGTGAGTGTAATTTAATTCCAACCAATACGAAATGCTACGTCAAACGCCTCATACTCGATCTTTACTGACTAAGTTAAAAGATTCCATAAATATAATGCTTTTATTGATTAAAACAAAATTTAAAATCCGTTTCCCTATGGAACGATGTACTTTGAAAATCTGCATGAAAAGTAGTACAACATAACGTAACATTACGTAAGTAATGTACCTACTCGTATTACCCTACATATAGTGTACCCTACATTTTGACTTCACGGATGGCGTAGTGATTTAAGCGGCCACCACGCCGCTCACTACTACGCTGAGTGTCGTGGGTCCGATGTCCACATTGGACGACACTTTGTGTGATCCACAGATTGTTGTTCTGAATCTTCTTTGTGTCCGTTTCATGTATGTTTGTAAAGTCCCCGGTGACACAGGATATATTCCTAAAGCGGGAGTTGTCTTTTTTAAAAGCAAAAAAAAAAGATAGTGTACAGTACTAGCTTCTTAACTACATCGAACGCTTTTTTTAAATCGAAGTAAGCAGCGTCAGTCTGACCCCCACTGTACATCCTCGTCAGAAGTTGATTAATTAATTTAGGAGATTATTATTATGATTATTATTTATTATTATTATGATTATTATAGGAGTTTCTCAAGAATCACTGGCTAATAGGCAGTGATTCTTGAGAAACTATTACTGGTAAGCACTTGTCAATATTTTTAAGTTCAAAGACTTTTTTTAAATTCATGTGAAAATAATATAAATGGAATCAGCATGATTTGTATTAGGTAAAGCTGAGGTTTAGCGGATATTTGTATTTGAGATCAATTTACTAATTTACATGTATGTTTATAAAAAACGAGCTTTAATTTCAGGCCTCCCCATGCTTATAGAGTTTTCAACACATGGATGGGTGACCCGTCAAAGTTAATTCTGCTCGAACAGGTTCTCAAAGTGATTAAACAAAATAACTTAATTGAAAATGCCAATAAAACCGGCCAAGTTCTAAAGAATGGTCTTCTGAAGCTCGAGAAAGAATTTCCAAACTTGGTGAACAGCGTGCGCGGTCGCGGCACTTTCTTGTCATTTAATACCTCAAATACTGAAGTGAGGGACAAAATACTCTCCAATTTAAGACAGAATGGTAAGTTGCAGTATTTATTAATAACTAAAAGATATCGGTACGGTAATTCTTGACGTATACGCATCTGTCGTGTGCGTGTGCGTGCGTGTGCGTCAATGTCGAAACATGGGTGGGTCAGGGTGCCGGATTCAAATCTCTCTCCTTGTCATATCTACATATTCTCTGTTAGTACACAATATATAAATTGTCACAGATAGATGTGGTCAAATTTTAAATCTTTGTATATATATATATATATATCTAAAAGTTGTTTAAATTTTGGAAATAGTAATAGTCGGTAGGTGCAAGGTCTGGTGAGTATGGCGGATGAGGGAGAGCTTCCAACCCCAGCTCTTGCAGCTTGGAGACTGTCTGTTGCGCAGTATGGGGTCGCGCGTTGTCGTGAAGGAGCAGTAAGGACGACCGATTGACCAAAGCTGGTTGCTTGGTACTCACCAGACCTTGCACCTACCGACTATTACTTTTTCCAAAATTTAGACAACTTTTTTGTGGGTAAAAAATTAAATTCCCGAGAGGCAGTACAAAATGCCTTTGAAGAGTTTGTTGCCAATCAATAAACTGCCAATGCGTTGGCAAAGATGCGTCGATTGCATGGGTGATTACTTCGAATAACAGAAATAAAAAAGTTTGAAAAAATAAGTATTTTCACTTATTGCATACAAAACGGCAATTTCATAGGTAAAGACCTATTATATAATTTTTATAGAAATTATTAAAGATTTTTTATAGAATATATAAGAATTTATATAAATATATATATATATATAAATGAGTCAGTTGGTTTGTGTAAAACTCAAAAAAGTCTACACTGATGGAGCTCAAATTTTAACACTATGTACAACCGCTTTAAAACGGGTATTATCTATTTTTCATGTCAGTTTAGTTCCTCATTTCTCATCCACGCAACCAAATAATGCCACAACGAAGCCTGACAGCTAGTATATAACAAAAATAAAGTTGATTTAGAAAATTTAAATTAATTTTTTATGAAAAAAATCTTTGTCTTGTACTTCATTGGATTTCCGTTTTAGGCATTGATTTGTTTAGACACTCATGTTGAATAAACTTGTTACATAATAAATATAAAATATAAGGCCAATATAATTGTTTTATTTTATGCCGATATTTTCAGAAAAAATTGGATATTCTATTAACATCTTCGGTGTTAAATACCCACAGCAAATTTTATAATTCAAATGATCACTTTTAAAATTAGAATTTGATATGAATTTTCCAAAATTGTGATTACGGTAAAACCACACCTTATTTGTATTGCGAAACACACACACAATTTTCTGTTAGTTTCGTGTTTCTGTTACACCAGAAGACTCCTTAATATTTTTCGTGGCTTTAAAACTTAAAACAAGTATTTTAATATTGCAGGTGTAATAGGAGGTGGGTGTGGAGAAATGGCCATTCGTCTTCGACCAGCTCTCGTCTTTCAACAAAAGCATGCTGAAATTTATTTAGACATTCTGAGGAAAACACTAAAGGAAATTTAAAAAAAAAAATTGAAGTCTTCCAATATAAGCGTATTATCGTAATATAGAAAACCGAAACAATAGTTTTTAATTAAGAGTTCTTAATGTAAACTCAAACCGAGAATTGCTTATTGTTGGAAAGCAGTTTGTTGTTGAAATCCTAAAATATTTTCTAGGTTTATCCATTACGCTCATAGATACTCAGGCGGTTAAATATTTGTGTAACTATAAACCTATATTTTTGTTGCTTTTGGTAATAACATGAAACATGCGAAATTGTTACAGCGCTGCGCTCAACAAAATAAACTAATTTTAGTTTAGTGCGAATTCGTATAATGTATTCGCTGAGTAGGCCTGTTTTGCATTACTATTTTTTTGTGTTCACCTTTGAATAAGTAATCTCATACAATTTTATGACCGATATATTTGAGGGATGATATCGTTTGCCGAGAATTTTTATTTTATGTAGGATAATTTGATAACTGCTTATTGTTGCAAAAAAAATTTTAATCGCTAATCATCTACGAAATAAAAGTAGAGGTTTAATGTCTTTCTACCTATAAATAGGGGGGTATAGTAATAAAAAAGACTCCCAGATATTTTCTTTTGATTTAAAATAGGATATAATAAAGACTAAATAATGATTATACTCGTAAAGAAAAATATAGGTATGAGAAAATTTGCATCGCTGAAAGAAAATATTTTGGGCAAAATATTATTACTTTACTTCCCTATTTCTTTTCAATAATATGTGTGCATTCAACAAGATAACTAAATTATGATGCCATATTTATGTTTCATCATATTGCCAGTCCAGTATTATCTATTTACTAGGCTAATCGTCTTGTCATCTTGTAGTACTGTTTTTATGTACATCTTTTTTATGTAGGCATGAACTTTACATGTATAGTTTTATTTTATTATATCTTGTTATATTAGGTAGGTGCAACGCCCAAATAATGTCTTCCAAATATACTACTTACATCAAAGTTGTTTTCTTTTAATGTACTACTGAATTTTAATATCTGCGGAAACAAATATTGAGTGTAATGAGTACCGTGACTTCGCTCGCATTACGTTCATTTTTACCCTTGGCGTGGCTTAAATGTACGTACGTAACAAACAAAGTTTTGTTTCGTAATATTCTACATGACGAGGAGTACATAAAGGCGAATGTGCGGCAGTTGTGATAGGAACTACCTGCTCCTGTCGAGGTAGTTATGTGATTCGGTCTTTTCATTGTCACCCGTCCCATTGAGAACGTTTACAAAATTTCTGTCTGTGCAGTTTTATTACTAGATTTTATTTAAATAAAAACAGATAATCTAATAATAAGGAATATTAGATTATCTGTTTTTATTTAAATAAAATCTAGCTTTGAGGCGCTATCACAAAAAGGACTATGTCCGGTCACATACATTTAAAATGGGCAAGACCAGGTCCATTAACTCGTATCCATAACCCATATCCTACTTAAATTTATCTGACTTAATTCCATTTTTCAGAAACAATTATTAAATCGACTAGAAAAAAACATATCTTTTAAGTGTTACGACATCTAGAGAATAAGTGCAAACGACGGCGACCGCTTTATAGACTGTCCATGGCTGCAGCTTAGTAGTAAAAGATCTGCCATTGGCAGTAGTGGGAGAAAAATTAATAACACCGAATACCCCTATTTCGTCCTAATTTCTGCGTTGTTAGATAGATAGATAGATAGATAGATAAATACTTTATTTGTACACCAATGTTTTACAGACATTATACAGTAATTAAGGACCGATGTAATGTACAAAGGGCGGCCTTATCGCTTAGTGCAATTTCTTCCAGGCAACCTTTGGATGGATTCATTTTGAAATGGTGATAGGTATACATAAATTAGAGAAGTAAATAAGGTCTTAACCTATAAAATATTTTTTTATACATAAATACTACTAATATATATTTATACATAAATACTATACATACATACGTTAATATATACATACGCTAATTTTCAACTATTAGAGACAGATAATGCTCATATAGCATAGTCTTGAAGGTGGTTACGGATTGCGCACGTCTGATAGTAACCGGCAAGGCATTCCATAAACGTACAGCTTCTACGGAAAATGACTTGGTGTAGAAATTGGTAGAATGCCTTTGTATTTCCAATCTCAGGCTTTCAGAGGACCTCAGTCATTTCATATGTGTGTCATGAAGGAACTTAAAGCGTTATTTGAGGTAAATAGGAGTTAATGTATTAAACAGTATATTATACAGAAGCGTAAGGATATGAGTATTCCGGCGAAGTCGGATCGGAAGCCACCTGAGCTTTTTACGGTAGTGGGAAACATGATCATATTTGCGAAGTCCAAATATGAATCGTATACAAAAATTTTGGAGACGCTCAAGTTTATCAAAATGTGCTTCGGTGAGATCGAAATAGCTAACGTCGGCATAGTCAAGTATCGGAAGAAGGAGCGTTTGTGCAAGTGCAGTTTTAGTAGCAGTCGGAAGAAAGTTTCGTAACCTTCGCAAAGATCCCGCTGCAGCGAAGACTTTGCGGCTCACCTCCTGAATCTGAGGTTCCCATGATAAGGTGCTATCGATTATGATTCCCAAGTTCTTTACTTTGCTGCTGATCGGTATGATGGTATTGTTAAATTGAACCGGAGGCAAATGTGACCAATTAATTTTAGCAGACATTATGGGACTCCCAATGATGCATACCTGTGATTTTGTGGAATTAATTTTTGAGTCCATATTCGTTACTCCAAACGCTTATGTGCTCTAGATCTGCATTAATAATATTAAGCGCAGTCGATAACATACTGACAGGTGCATGGGTGTATATCTGTAAATCATCAGCATACAGGTGATAGGATGAAAGTAAATGATTGGAAATAGAATTAATAAAAATTGCGAAGAGTAATGGAGATAGAATGCCACCCTGTGGGACACCGACAGTTGCATTACACCATGAAGAGAGGGAGTCTTCAAGTCGAATGCGATGCTGACGCCCAAACAGGTAATTGTGAAACCAATCAATTGCCCCTGGAGATATGTTAAGAGAGCGAAGAATACCAAGGAGAATATGTAATTCGATGGTATTAAATGCGTTACTGAAGTCGAGTAAGGATAATACCGTTACGTTTCCACTATCCATATTTCCTCTAATATCATCTGTGATGTGGACTAATGCTGACACCGTACTGTGTCCTGCACGGAAGCCAGATTGAAAGGGATTTAGGAGATTGTTACTTAACAGAAACTTGTTGAGTTGATTATAAACAAGACGTTCAAGAACTTTAGAAAGGAATGGTAAGATAGATATAGGGCGATAGTCGGAGAAGGACAAAGGTTTCGATTTTTTTGGCAATGGAATAATTTCAGCTGCTTTCCATGCAGATGGAAAGACGCCGTAGGATAAGAAATGGTTGAAAATGTTACATAGGACAGGAAGAATATCATCAAGGATGGGAACAATCATTTTTTTACTGAGGCAGTCGCTTCCCCCCGCATTAGAAGCTGCCAATGGATTTAAAATGAAGGGAGAGTAGTTAGGAGTTTGAATAGATGAAAGATATTTTAAAGTTTTGGCTTTTGTTGTCTCATCAAACTCAGCAGCATGTTAAGCAGATTATTTTTAAGAGGAAAACCACCCCGCATCGCACGGAGACTATTCCTGCCTAAACAGACTGTCCTTTTAGGCAATTTGTACAAGTTTAATGAGACTCTCATGGTCCCTGAATTACATTCAGTCAAAAAAGTATCGGAAATGGATGATTTTTTTATTGTTCCAAATTCAAATTTTTGTTTTTTTTTTGTTGTTGTTGGATTGGCACAACTGTGTTTCAGAGAGATAGCCGCCGATTTCTGTATCTCATGAGTCGATCCGTACCATTTTAACCAATCTTTTGGGTATGAAACATGTTACCCCTCGGCTAGTCCCAAAAGACCTGAATTTTCTCTAAAAACTCAATCGCATGAGAGTCGCTGAGGACATGGCAGAACGAGTCAATTCCGACCCAACATTCATGAAACGCATTGTTACTGGTGACGAGACGTGGGTTTACGAGTTTGACATGCAAACTAGTCAACACGCTTCGGAGTGGTGCCTTCCAACTGAACTGAAACTGAAAAAACCACGCCAAAGTCGATGAAAAGTCAAATTCATGTTGGCTGTTTTCTTTGACTATCGCGGTGTTGTGCACTCTGAATTCAATTCTTGCCGGAAGGTAAATTAAGAATATTATTTGAACGTTATGCGGCATTTATGAGAGCAAATTCGACGAAAAAGGCCAGATTTGTGGAAAGAAAAATCTTGATTTGGACCAAACACTCAACAAATACCATCGAGCAACCACCATATTCACCAGATATGGCTCCAGCTGACTTCTTTCTTTTTCTTAAACTCAAATTACCACTTCGTGGCACCCGTTTTCAAACGGTAGAAGACATAAAGGAGACTTCGCGGCGAGAACTGAAATCAATTTCGGAAACAACGCTTAAAAAATGTTTTGATGATTGGATAATTCGTTGGCGTAAGTGTATCGTTTCTGAAGGAGCATACTTTGAAGGTGATAAAATAAATTTGGATGAATAACAAACATTTTGTGTATTATTGATCTTTGCCCGGTACTTTCTTGACAGAGTAGTAAGTTCACCTCACCAAGCTTGTATACAATGTAACCGCATCGGCGTCGGTCCCGATTATGTCAAACTTTTCAGTAAAAGTTCGTCTCTAGCCGCTTCTGGCAGACGCGTAGAAGGGCTTGTAGCTAAGATGAAGAATGTTGAATGGCCTTATTTATCTCACACAAGAATAATACAAATGTATATTAAGTATATATTATTTTTGTAAAGGAAAAATACAGGTTTCCTTTTTGAATTTAATGTCACAGACACGCAGATACAACTTATACCTATAAGACTTTCTAAAATACTATCGGTTTAAAATGTAACCTTTTAAGAAACGAAAATTTTAATATTGTTGTGTTTTTTTATATTGTTTGGAAACCCCGTACGGGTTATCACTG